CATCTCCACTCTGTCTCAAAACATTTTAGTTACAGCTTTTCAGGATATGTGTAATAATAAATTCATGACCATAAAGACGCACGGGGAGTTTTTGTTTCTTTTTAGTGATTCACTTCTTGCTTTTTTAGGTGTTTAGGGGACAATTTGACAATCACTTATTAATGACAGAGTCACTGATCCCTGACCCTTCTTCATTAAACACTTAAATAAAAAGACTCCCACTTTATTCTTCTCACCATCCTCCATCTGTCACATTTCCTCTTCATTTAGGTCATTTTCTTTTCTTTCTTCTTTTTTCTGTTCTTAACTAACTTCCTCATGAACCCACTTTAGGTAAAGAGTAACCAAATCCCTTTAAAAGATCCATCTCATCTGTAAGTGCAAATGTGCCAGAGTAGAGTGTGTCATCGAGTGTGTCATATGGATCTGCCTTATTGCGCATCTTTGCTGCCTTTCTTAGAGCTTTTAATATATAACAATTGAAATAAAGAGTCTGTTTAGTATGTATGTTGTATATTTGTTATAGAGATAGCGTGAGTATCGACGTGTTTGACTGAATGATCAGCTGAGAAGATGTATATCTGTGAAATACCCGTGTGAAGAACCTCAGATGTCACAATCGTCATTTCACTTCTTCCTCTTTTATCTGCACAGCCACCCTCGGGTGTCCCAGTCAGACATAAAAGCGTTTTGTTCAGTTCTCAGTGCATCCAGATTGTTTTTTTTTTCTTTTTTAAAGGAACTAGAGATGTAGCCATCACAAAATTACTCTTTCTTGGAACCATCCAGCAGTTCACTATTGCTGCACTCCAAAGTAAGCGTCAGAAAGTTATGTTCTCAGCTTGTGCCTCATAGAAAACCTGACTGGAGTTTTATGTTACAGTACGCTATTGCTCAGTTTTACCTTACGATGCTTAAAGTAGGAAATGCTGCAGAGCAGTGTGAGGAAAACCGCTGAATAGTTACAAAGGGAAAGTGGACACCATTGCACGTGGGCTGCATGGGGAGGGGGTGGGGGATGAGTGAATGTGTGGATGGGCACGAGCGTGTACGTGGGTGAGAGAGAGGTAGTTAAGAGCAAGAGAGAAATGTTTGGTGTAGCTCTACAGAGGCGGTGTTCACAGAAACGAGGCTGACACAAACCTCGAGTGATCTACCAGAATTTCTTCCTACTTCTCCCCCCTTTCCTTTTATGCTGCCCCGATAATGTTAATGGAAGAAGATGAAAGCTTCTTTTCATTTTTTTTTCAAATCGCAGGTTACCAATGTAGGATTTCTCTTTGAAAAGTACCTTATGAACCCTCATGGGATCCTTTTGAAGACAATTAGTGAGGAGCCATTAGTGAGGAAGGTTAATCGCCTCTAAAAGTGGTGTGATGTATGTGTGAAACCAAGATTGGGATATGCATCAGCGCTCGCTCGATGGAAGTGCTTGATCTGCCGTGGACGAGATAGTTTTGCTGCAAAGCTTCTAAAGGGCGTACAGACGTGTCTGTATAAGAACCACTCTCTCTTTCTTGAACTCTCTTTTTTTTTGTTTTATTTTTCAGTTATTTCAAAACCAACGTTTCACATGTACTTGTCTTTTTTTTTCCATGTGCAATATAAATTGTCTGCCTCTGTGACAGTGCATAGATTCCTATGTAAATACCTATGCCTCTTGTTAAATTATTGCTTTAGGTCTGAGTTGCCAAAGCCTTTTAAGTGTTAGATCATGATGTTTCCATTTAGAAAAGAAACACAAATCAATGGAGTGTGACAATTTTAATCCTAAAATGCTTCAGTTTTCTATCACGATTGTGTATCTGTCCTTTTTGTTTGTTTGTTTTAGAGAGTCAGGGCTAAATGTGCCAAGCAAACATTTTCTACTTTCTTGGCAAGCTGCAAAGTGAAAAAGAAAAAGAAAACATAAAAACACCACAAGAAAAAAGAAAAAAAAAAAACAGACAGAACTTAAAATATTTTTGTTCTCTAATGTTGGTGTGTCGACGAGGGCTGTGTTCATATTTGACTTTTCCCGCTACGTCATGACAGCTTGTCAATGGATTGTGAACGCAATCGATTTCCCATCATCACAGAGCAGCGGGACTCGAACCTGTGACGTAACGTCATCGTAACAATCACCTGTGACATAATTGTTAAAAGTGGCAAAAATATAATTGCTGTAAATATCAAGAGTTTCAAAAGAAAACGTTTCTTGATCGTCTGTCATTATTTACAATGGGACTTTTTTTTTTCCAGTTCTGTAATGTGTTTAAAGTGGTTGCCTTCTGTTCTCCTTTTCTTTCTTTCTTTTTTCTTTTTTCTTTTTTTTGCTAAGCCATTTTTGAACAACCCTAAGCTCAGACTTTAACAGAGGGGATGAAAGAAAATTATATCTTTGTTTGGGATATACGTATAATATATAACCCAGGCAAATCTGAAATGTATAAATGATGCTTATACTGGCCAATAAATCCAGGATATTCATCTGTTAATTATTTGTTTCATTGAGTTCTGAGTGCTGGTGATCTTGTTCTTCGTGTTGAACAAGGACAATTTTCAGAAGTAGGCAAATGTGCAACATTTTAAATCCTTTTTTTTTCTTGAAATAAATCTGGTGAAAGGCTTCTCGGTTGTCCTTTCTAAATGTGTGTGCACACCACATGCTGCACTGTGTATTATGTTGTCTGGAACTGTGTATTTCTATCTGGCAACACGGATTTAGTCGTCACAGAGGCATCTTTGCTGTTCTTGTTGACCTGTGCCACATGTGCTCATGGTTAAGCATGGCTAGGCTAACATATTTCGGAGGGGTTCCTAGGACAAAAATCTACCCCTAAAGTAGTTAGCATTTCTCCTGTTTTTACATTAGTTTAAATAGAAATTATATAGCTTGTTCATACAGCTATACTTTTATAATGGGAAATTACATTTAAATTGTATGTTATCAGCCCCTAGTTGAAGATATTCCAGTATAGAGTTGTGGTCAGAAGCTTTCATAGACTCATCATGGGCATAAATGTCATGGTAAATCTGGGTCTTTTTATGATTTATTTTAACTGTTGAATGACTGTACAACAAATATCTTTAATAACTTTAAAAAGAAAATGAAAAATTTGGTGTTGAAGCTTGAATTGACTTTGGATTTTCTCAAAAGTATATATACAGACTCAAACATATACATGTACCCCACTAATATTTGGTTTAATGTTCTTTTGCAAGTTGCGCCTCAACTTTTGCCATCAACAAGTTTCTGGCAAACGTCTGGCTGTATATATGACAACTCTTCAAGCGAGACGGCTCAGTCTTTATCTCATCTGTCCATAGAGCTTTTCTGCAGTAGACATTTGGCTCATCCATGTGAGCAGCTGCAAATTTCACTCGAGTGATTTTGATTTTGTAGCAGGGACTTCTTTCACGGTCAGCACTCTATCAGTCCTTGGTGATGTACAAGCTGCTTTACGGTGGACAGTGATGCTGGTGTTCCAGCAGTTTCCAGTTCATGACAGGCTTAAACCTTGTGGTTTCTGGGTTCCTGACCATCTGAGGGGTTTGGGTCTTCCTGCAGATCTCGGCAAAGTCATGACATATCTGAATAACTTGTACAGATGTGCAATTGTTTAAATGATGATCTTGGAATCCTCAGTTGTTTAGAAATGATTCAAAGAGACATTCTTACTTTTGTAATTCTCCTTCTTAGATCGTCTCTGAAGTCCTTGGACTTCCCCATTGTTCTGACTATTGGTCAATCCAGTGACTGCTGTAAAATAAATCCTTTATATGCTGGCAAACTGAAACTACTAGTTTTAGCCAATTGTGACCCCTAATGAGAATTTAATAGGCCTCAGCACTGGCAAGTTAAAATCAATTGTAGAATTGCACTACCAGTTATGAAAAGGTTTAAGATGGTGTATGTATATATTTAAGAAAGGATTTATTCTTTTTAAGAAAAATCCAAAATAAATCCAAACTTGTACACCCCAATTCTTGTTTTTTTTTAATTGATTAAAGGTGAATGCTGTGCAATCATTGCACCCTGGAAAAATAGCAGTTCAAATAAATCATTAAAAGCCCAAAATCACATGAAAATTATACCAATGATGAGTGTGTGTAAACTTCTGACCACAACTCTGTATCGATAGTAGAAAGCAAAATTTGATTAAAGGGGACATATTATATTTTTATTAATGGAATTGACATAAGCAGATTGCTTTAAAACAACATTTTTATGATGGGCTTTCCTTATTGAGCCAAATAAAATATTTTTAAAGGAACAATAGGTGTGTGGGGCTGTCTTCCTGGGAGATAGCTGCTCTCTGTGTCATTATACAGGCCATGCACTGAAAAAGCTGTCAGAAAGGCTTGGAGCAGACTGAACCCTGAGCGTTGGGAATTATGAGAATCACCCAATAGTGCATATATGGCAGAATAAGGAAAGAACATCATAGGTCACCTTTCATGAATATGAGACAGGCGAGTCTTAGACTTAGAGGTCCAGGAAAGACCCATGCAGCTACTGTAGACTTCAGATCACAGCACAAATGCATCCGTCACATCTTACAAAGCATCACAAACCTAATTAAATAAATAAATAATAACAAAATAATTTTAACAGCAAATTATTGACTTTTGGGAACAGGTAGTTAAGTAGGCCTAAAAGAGGCCTACTTAACTCATGTCTATTAGGCCCTTATGATAGCGCAGTGTCCGTGATATATACTTATATGTATCTTCAATAATACATACTATTTCATAAAGTGATCTATTTTATGTATACAATGTCAGGCAAAACAATTACAGTGGCTGAAAATTATTTATTACTTTATTACTGCGCCTGTACTTCACTTTAGTATCACACTGGTAAAGTAGAGTAAACAAACTACAGTAGTACTGTGTAGCAGTTAAATGCATGCTCTAAAATTAAAAATCAGCAATTTACGAGCTCAAAACAAAGCAAAGTTGAGAAAACGCTCGTACTAATTGAATCATCGCGTGATTTGGAGTGCGTGAGCTCTGCGCAATGAGAACTGCAGGTAGTCCGCCATTGCTGTATGAAGAACTGTCGGATTTGGTGTTTGGCAGTCAACAATAAACTTGTGGTGCCGGGACCCGGAGCTACGAGGTCGGGTGAAAGCTCGTCGGCTGCTCCATAAACCAGTAGTCGGCCCAGTCCTCCCTGGACAACACTTTCATGTGAATACGGAGCCCACGGACGAGGCAACCATGTCCAATCTCAGCAAAGGCGGCACCAAGAAGGACACCAAAATGAGGATACGGGCCTTTCCTGTAAGTGCACGCCGCAGTAGGGGCTTTGCTCGTCCGACGGTCGCGGACTCGATTACCGTGGTCTGCGCTAAGGGCTAAATGCTAATAGGCTAACCAGTTGAGGTGACTTGACTATCCGTAAACAAAGTGTAGCCGTCAGATATCCAGTCTTCCACACTCTTGGTCGGTCTGTTAGATGGAAACTCATTTATAATACCAGCTCGGTGATAAGTTTTATAAATCACTTTTATTTTCCCTGTCGCTTAACTGTCTTACAACTTCCCAGGCATTAGCTAGCCGATATGATCAGCCAAGTAGCCGATGCTAACGTTAGCCATGGGTCTTGACACTTGTTGTTTTGACTGATTTTATTTTTGCTCATCTTCTAAAATGTGTCTATGTGTGTATATATATGTATATATATAAACGCATAATGTCTTTATGACTGAGCACTAAATGTAACGGACGTTTGTGCAGACAGAGGTCTGTACTTTAGCCTCAGCGGCGTTACGGCCGCTTTACATGATGCTAATGAAAACCAAAATGAGCTAACCCAGTTCTTGGTTCTGAATTAATACCTGTGTGGATTTTGTGGAAATGTTTTGGTGTTGGAATCGATTCTTCGCTCACATGGCACTCCCTTTGTCTGCGAGACACTGAATTATCTATTTTCTGAACTGACCTAAATTTTCATAAAGCATTAGCCTGTCTGTAAAGGCTTGATGAGAGCGTAGCAACAGTATCCATGTAGCTGATGGATCTTAGTGACGAAGTTTTACTTCAGTGGCACCTTCATATATGCCTATGGGCCCGCTGATCGTGGCCGAGTCTTGATAGGATAACTGTCAGAGCTGCTGTCAAACCAGCGTCGTGATGTGCATGTGTTTGGGCTTGCCTGCTGAGTAGCAGCACAGGGGTGGCATGTGTTATGTTTTCTGCTTTTGGATAACGTGTCTTTGGCAATTAGGAATCCCACAAAGAGTCTAGAGTAAGTTTAAAGATTTTAATTATAGACTGGATTATAGATTTCTTGTTATCATGATGCTTTACAGCTGGGCTAAACTAGGTCCTTGCTTTACGGTTATTTATCCTATCTGTAGTGCGTAACGTAAAAAAACAAACAAAAAAACCCCTTTCCTCCTGGTTTAAAATAACACCTGAAACCTTAAAAAAAACAAAAATATAAGAGCTGGGGCTGGTAGCTTCAGAAGCACTGAAACCCACGCCCATGTATGCGTAAATATTTAATATTAATTGCTTGGTGTATGCAATGACTAACCCTAATATTAGTGTATAGACACTGACCTGCATTCTTTCACTTTACATTTTCCTCATAGTGCTTATGCAAGTACTTAAAGCAGCCTATGAGATTGTTTTGACAGAGCCAAATTTTCAGAGGACATGGTAGATATTATATATCTCACCTTTACCCTTTGTGATATCTGCTTTCTCACTATGCAAATCATTTTGGTGGGTTAATTTGGGTTTAAGTAAGAAAGAGAGAGAGAAAGGTTTTAACCTAATAAAATTGTTCCAACTACCTTATTAGTATACCAGGTTAGGATTCTAAGGAAACTGAGAGGTGTTTTAACCCACAACACAGTGTTCAAAAGAATGAAAACTGCTTAGTCATTAGTGTTCATCGTTGCTACAGGAATGTGATGGTTTCTAAATCAGTTGGAATGGGAGCAGCACTTCCTCGAGCTTTTAATGTACCTCATGTTAGGGTCTTTTATTCTTTTTTTTAATTTTTATTTAGAGGCATTCTTTTTTACTCTTGCAGTTTTCTTACTAGTCTGAGCAGTTTGCTATAATAAGCAGATTTATCCTATGATTGAAGGTTTTTTTTTATAGGCAGTGTACACAGCAGGGAAGAAATGATCATCTTAATATTTGCAGATCTGAGCAAATTTATTAATGAGAAAGAGTTTTCTAGAGGAGTAATAAGCTCTGTTAGTGTCTTATACTCAATAATGAAGTAAAAAAGAAATCAAAGATTGAGGATTGACACTTTGCAAAATGTATTCTGCATCACTACTGAGCCAAAGTATTTTATTTAATGTTTTCGTTTTTTAAATCTCAGTTTCATCTCTGTTTAATTATCTCAAGTGCTGTCATTTGTAGTCACCTTATTTTCCCTCCTTTAAACACACTGATAATAACAGAGCTGGCAGAAAAACATGTGAAAACAGCCACTTTCATGTTAGTAGTTGAAGCACAACCAAGTCACAAACAATTCAAATATAAACATAGCTTGTTGGAATAATAGGCGTGAATAGAGATTGGAAGCATGAGCCAGTTCCACGTGACTACCAGTGCTAATCATCCATCAGACCAGATCCGTATGCCACTAATACAGGTATTATATACATTACACATCTGTGAGTAAGAAAGGACCTGTTCGTGTTCAAGTGTCTTAATTTGGTCAGGATAAACACAAGGCTCCGAGCAGACATTTGCAGGCCCTCCAGTTTGCTGTGCAGGGCACCAACTATGAAGGTGGAATCCACGGAAAAGAAAATTTTGGGATGGGGGTGGACATAAACACATCTGTGTGTGTCCACAATAAAGTGTCATTTCAATCTAAGCTTATGAAATCCTAATTGTTGCAGTTGAACATATCAAAACAGTGACGTCAGCCTTGTGGCAGTGACACATGAGTCACATGTCAGTCTTTTTCCTACTCTGTGCGTTGACTCAGAGATAATAAAAGCCATTTTTTTTTAATGCACAGAAAATAGATAAGGAGTTATCAAATAATTAATTTGGACATCAGTATCAACAAAATGTTCTTAATATCTATATGTGATTTGAACAGTTGATTCTCTGTTGTTCATTTTGCCATGCTACATGAGGCCTCAGTCACGCAGGCCTAGTGGAGAATGCTCTCTGTCAATGGCAGATTGCCACGGTTGCGAGTAATTTGCATGGGAGGCACCGACTTGTCTGCAAACACTTGGTAACTAAGGCTACGTTCACACTGCAGGCGAAAGCGCATCAAATCCGGCTTTTTTGACCCTATGCGACCCATATCCGATCATGGTATGACAGTGTGAACAGCAGAAATCCGATGTTTTCAAATCCGACCTGGGTCACTTTTGTATATGGTACTGAATCTGATACATACCTGATGTTTTAGAAAGCGACTGCTGTTTGAATGGTCATCTCGCATTAAATTCGTCTTTTACGTCACTGACACAAGACAGACGCCAATTATCAGCGCCGGAGAAGACATCGTGAACGCTTCCTGGCCATCCAGTGTAGATGTTAGTGAAACTGTTGGGAAGACAGCGTTGGAGAAACGTGAACATTTTATTTGTACTGTATAATCTGCAGATTCTGACAGAAATCTGCAACTATCCTTTGAAGCACCGCTCCTCTCTAAAACAGCAATAAGGATAATTATTAGGCCATATGTAAATAACAAAATAACTTTATAATTTAAAACAAAATTGGGAAACGTAAAGTCCAAAACAAGTCTTTATATTAAGGCCATCAGTCAAACAATACTGTTTGGTCTGGGTCTAAACAGCGCGTTGTGTGTGACGTCTTCTTTTGCGCGTGCGGGCCTCTTTGAGGGTTTACACTAGAGCGCGTTTGCTGTCACATTTTATTTGTAGTGTGAACAAGCAGACAAAAAAAATCTGATTTGATCAAAAAATGGGAATTGAGCATTAAGACCTGCAGTGTGAACGTAGCCTCTCTAACCAGCTAGTGGGAGTGAAACTTGGAAAAACTGTGATGCAAATCAGAAATGGAGGACGTCCACTTTAACTAATAGTTATGCCTTTTAAAACACGTTGGTTTCAGCATAAGGCACATTATTTACTTTGAGGATAAACATCTTCTGTTTCTGGATTGAATTGTACTTTTTCAACTTCAGCTACTGTCTAGCAAGTAGTTGGGACCACTGCTTATTGGCCAACAGGCCTACAGTACATCTCAAGATGGTTAAAACATACCCTCTTAGATGAGCTGTGGCTAGACGTAGAACAGGCACTATGCAGTAATATAGAGATTTCGGACCTACAGTTCATTAGCTCAAGCATCAATATCAGCTCCTTTCTGACAGCATGGTGGGAATTTCTAAAAATGACTGAGTCTTCACTAATTCCATGTAAACATAAATCCATCTGGAATAACCGTGACATCCTAGAAAACAATAATATGATACTTCCAAGGGGTGGCACATTGGTCAGCACTGTTGCCACAGCAAGAAGGTCCTGACTTTAATTCCACCATTAGGCCAGGGTCTTTCTGTGTGGAGTTTCCACGTTCTCCCTGTGTTTGTGTGGGTTCTCTCCGGGTACTCCAGCTTCCTCCCACAGTACAAAGACATGCAGTTAGTGGGTTTAGGTTGGTAATTAAATTAGGTGTGAATGTGAGTGCGGATGGCTCTATTTGTGACAGACTGACTGTACCCTGCCTCTCACCCTAAGGGATCGGATAGGCTCCAGACCCCCCGTGACCCTGACAAGGATAAGCGGAAGAGAATGGATGGATAATACTTCCTAGATTGAGTTGTATGAAATACTTGGAACATATATTCAAAGGAAACTTTATTTCATTTGACAGATTAGTTTTACAGTATTTAACAAGAATACATTTTTAGAATGCAAATTAAATCTATAGATTTCATAAGCAGCAAATTAAATCCAAAGTAAAAAAAGAATTTTAAGCCTAATCAAGTCGAATTACAAACATTTGCAATTCCTTAATTTCAAAACCTCCAAATATACATTACGCTCTCCAAGTAGATATCCCTTTCTATTGTTAAATGGGAGGTCGACCTGTCAGTCAGCTTTGATCACAGCGTTTGGTCTCAGATATGTCTAAAATGACTAGAAACCCCAATCTACAATTAATACAATTGAAAATCCTTCATAAAGTGCACTGTACAGATCAACAGATGTTCAGGATCGGTTTGCATCATTTAACACCTGTTTGCACTGTCAAGGCAATACACCTGACAATTACATCCATGCTTGCTGGTTCTGTCCACCTGTTCAGAGATTTTGGTTCCAGATATGTGAAGTCTTATCAAAGGTTCTGAAGTGTAACATTCCAGCCTCCCCTTCAGTTTGCTTGTTGGGTGACCTAGATGATAACATTGTCTTCCCTCTCTTCTCTCTCTTAGAACATCTCAGGTGTGGGCCCCACCCACACACACACACACAGTGGGCCCCCTGGCTCTGTTGGGCCCTTACTGGGGGGTAGGGTGCTGTTGGGTCTCGGGTCTCTGGCCACGGAGCTCAGTCTGCTCTGGTTTAGCAGACAGAGCCTCCGGGCTTGTCACTGCAACCCCCTGGGGTCTCTGTACTGTGTCTGCTGTGTGACTGTCATTGTTATTTATGTATATGTTGGTTGTTGCTGTGGTTTCTCTGCTGTTTTTCCCCCCTCAACAGGTGTTGATTTAGCTCTCTCCCTTTCTCTCTCTGTCCCTCTTCTTCTCTCCCTCTCTTTCTGTCAACTTTCTCCCCGACTTCACTTTTTCCTTTTTCTTTTCTGTCACCTGGTCTTGTCCATTATGGTTGTGATAATCCAAAATCAAAAAACCCTAATAAAGGTCTAATTAAATATGAGTATCAAGTGGACAATTACAACAAATGCTGCAATGCTTCACTTGTGAAATTAAATGTGTTTGTCATTTTTTGGCCTTCAGACAACAATTCTGATTGCTACACTGCCAAACAGGACGGGGGAAAAAAAGAAAAAAGTTGGCCAGTGTTTGCAGACAAGTTGCCATATTACATGCAAACTATGAGCAAAGTGGCAACCTGCTGGGAAGCAAAGCATTCACAAGGGTTTTTTGGGTAAAGACGCTATACCTCTTTGCAGTCAGTTTCTCCTAGCAACAGCTGGCAACCTCCAACAACCATTCACAGCCAATTGGGTAATATTCATTTTTCCCTGGCAACCAGTGGTTACCAGACAGTCACCAACCACTTTCTAGGCCTGTGTGAATGGAGTCTTAGCTCCCTTACTAGCAAAATGTACTGATCTTCTAGAACATGATGTGGTATGCACATGTTCTCATGCACAGATTCTTCATGTTGACACAACTAATCACTGGTTATAGTCCTGTTGAAACCCATTACTTGTTACTTCTTGCAGATGACGATGGACGAGAAGTACGTCAACAACATATGGGACCTTCTGAAGAATGCCATCCAGGAAATTCAGAGGAAGAACAACAGCGGCCTGAGTTTTGAGGAACTTTATAGGAACGCCTACACAATGGTGCTTCATAAACATGGAGAGAAGCTGTACACCGGCCTGCGTGAAGTTGTTACCGAACACCTTATCAACAAAGTAAGGCCATCAGAGATCACAGCCTAAAACAGTTGCTGGAAGTCAAGTGATGACAGATTGACTAAAATATTTAGAGTTCATTTGAGCTGTCTGTCATTCCTGTGTGTAATACATGCAGCACATGTATGGTGGGCTAGTATGTATTACACAATGCTGTGCTGGTATTTAAAGTAGACTGGATTTGATCTACATAAAGAAAGATTGAAGCTGTAGTTGCTCTTTGGCGACGGTTTGTTCCACAAAAGAATAACCTAACCTGGCCTGTGAATAGTTTCCTGTTCCGTTTTTCAAATGCTTGAAAGTCTGATTGGTGCTAAACAGAAACTGTCATAGGATTCATATTATGATTTCTTTTTTTCTTTTTTCCCTTGCTTGGCTTGCATGCCATACTGAACAACAAAGGCAAAACCAGAAAATATGAGCCGGTTGCATTCATGAGCAGCCTTGTAAAGGCACATAAGCAGAAAGATGGAGAATATAAATCCACAGGCTGTTACTTAAGTCTTGTGGTAGATTTGTAAAACCCCTTACTCATGCCCCCCCCCC